AAAGATTGTGTGTGATTACGGAGTCAGAAAAATTAATAATTTGAAATGATCTCTAGAGACCATAAGTCAGCGATTTCTAAACACTAGTCAGTAGGCTTATGCCAGTCTTTATACAATTAGGTGAGAATCTGGAAAACTGTGGAAACACCCGTATTGCTCTAAGCATAGAACAACATTTTCGTAAGCATGGGAGAGTCCATGAAATTGCATTTCCACCTACATATTTAATGACCCTGATGTGCAACAGAATTCTGGAACCACTGGTGTGATCAGCCCTTTTACTTTATGAATGATCTTGCACAGGATCAGATTAGGCCCAGATGTCACGCTCAGAGGCTGACAGGGCAGCTCCCCTTGCTCCACTCAGGTCAGATTCTCTCCAAAGTAGTTCTTCACTCTCTTATGGCTTTGGAAACCACCTGGTTGGCTCTGTGTGCCTAAAGTTGCAGGCCTTGGAAGTTGAAACCTATTAGCAAAAACTTGCAAGTCCATACTATCCCAGACTTTGGGATAAATTCTGTCCTAAGGATTGAAAATGTTAAGAACTTCTAGCCAGTATTCCTGCATCCAGTGAGTTCAGTTGCTTGTCCCTTGTTCTTGTTCCAACTCACTTGATCTATCAAACTCTAAAAGCAATGCTCTAATAATAGATATTAACACAACGAAATTGTGAGTTTTCCTCCATTTCTCTTCATATTTGTGAAGTTTTAATTTCACATTTGCTGATAATGTGTTAAAGGTTAATAGCTGAAATAAATTATTAAAAGATAATTCTAGAGAACATTGCCTTACAAGCAGTCACAGGAACTTGGTTCCTGTTTACCACATATTGCTATACCTTACACATTATAAATGCTAATATATGTATGTACATATATGATCATGTTATAAGTACATGAAACTCCAAGATGTGGGAGATTTGTTTTAAAGAGACATGTTAATCAAAGTCTTGCCAGTTGATATGATATATATACTCATATATAAGATTTATTTTTATTGGAAAGTCAGATTTACAGAGAGAAGGAGAGACAAAGATCTTCTACCTGCCAGATAACTCCCCAAGGGGCCTCAGTGGGTCAAAACTGAGCCTCTCTGAAGCCAGGAGCTGGGTGCCTCTTCTGGGTCTCACACATGGGTACAGGATCCTACTGCTTTGGTCCTTCCTCTACTGCTTTCCCAGACCACAGGCATGGAGCAGGATGGGAAGTGGAGCAGCCAGAACACAAGCAGGCACCCATATGGAATCCAGGTGCATGCAAGACGAGGACTTTAGCCACTAGGCTATTGTGCTGGACCCTCAAAATCTACCTTTGAGAAGATGCCGGTTTAGAAATTTTGTTTCAACTCCCATTCAGCAGACGTGCCCCAAGCTGTTACCAATCCAGATCTGTGGGCAGAGCCATAGGGAACAGGCAGGTATCTCTTGCATGAATTGTTTTGCCCAGGAGGGAACTGGCAAGAGTTTGGTTAACATGTCTCTTTAAAACAAATCTCCCACATCTTGGAATTTCATGTACTTTTAATATGATCATGAATATGTCCTTTAATATAAATGTGGCTTATTTCTAGCATTTCCCCATCTGGCAGGGAAATGCCCATATTGTTCTGGAAAACACTGGAGGCTTGAGAAAAATCAGGACTGTTTTTCCAACAGTGTCCTAAACCAGCTCTCAACATGGTAAAATGTAACAACAATAAGCAAACAACAAAACCAAACGAACTTATCTTTCAAGAGGAAGACAGGACTTTTTTCCATAAAATATACAATATTTCCTTCACCTGCGCATTTGTAGATGCCAGACCTCTGCCTAGAACATTCTGTCATCCCCGTCCCATCTGCCGTTCACTTGCCTCACATCGCCCTAATGTTGTGTTCAATTTTACTCATTCTTTAGGGACTGCAAGCCTTTTGGGGGAGCGGGGGAAGTCTTTCCTTATCTCCTGCAGCCCAGGGAATAGGCTTCTCTCGTACATCTCCTCAGTGGACCATATGTCCCGTCTCACTCACTCACTCTCTTGCCACAGGGGCTTCACCCTCCAGACAAGTGTCAAGCTCTGTTTCATATGGATCCTTTACAGTGGACCGGTAAATGTGTTTCCTTGAATTCTATGAACCATTAGAGCAAGCTGTCAAAATTAATCTAGGAAAGGAAGAGGTATTGGATGGTGAGTTCCATTAGCAATGACCAGTGACTTGGTCAATCATATGCCATGAGCTGGAAGGACAATGCACCCTAATTCTATGGGAACTGAAACTTCTACACTCAGAATTATCCACATCTCAATCTGTATTTTCTTTCATCTGACTTTTCTTCTGTATGTTTTATAAAGAACTGGTCAATATTAGTGGTTTCCTTGAATTCTGTCATTAGTGCAAGTTATCTGACATGAGGTTGGAGTTGTGGGAACTCATGATTTGTAGCCTAGGTATGTAGAATGAAGAACCACCTGGGAGTGGCGTCTGTAGCAGGGGGTGGGTTTGTGGGACTGAGCCCTCAATCAATGAGAACCACAGTAAATTGTAGGATAACTAGTTGGTGTCCACAGATAGCTTGAGATTTACTTGGTGTAGAAAACCCACACATTGAGTTAGAAGTTTATGAGTTCATTTGTCCAACATTACATATGTTATATGCTTCAAGCTAAAAATTTTCTTTAGTAAGAAAATTATTCCTTATTGTACATGCACAATATTAAGGAGGAATTTGTAGTAATGTTTTATGATTAAAAACAAAGCATTCATCAGAAAGAAAAGTAGCTTTGAGCTGATAACAATCAATGACTATTTTGTATGTTTACACAGGTCATTAACATAATTAGGGTTTTTCAGAAGCTTAAAAAAAACACCACAGACTTAGTTATTATTCCTCAGGATACAAGCCCAAGCTGGTGTGCATTTGGGGTCATAGTAAACAGGTTTTCAATAATCAGTTTGCTAAAAGCACGAAAATACTGGAAGTAGTTATGTTATGTGGGTACTCAATGGAAAGAATAGGAAATAAAATTGCAACAATTCAATGGAAATGAGTACTATTGGTTTGGGCTACCCCTATATAGATTCAAAATGCCTGAAGATCAACTAGGATAGGAAGGTGATGTGCTCTGAAAGAGATTAAGGCTGAGAAACAATTCCATGAAGACATATGCTGCTGTGAAGAACACATGACTGCAAACATCTAAGTGAAAAATGATCTAAGTTATGTGTCATGGTAAGGATACACATGTGATTCAATGCTCATTAACCCAAAAGAAGGGAGAATATGAGTGTGACTTGATATAGTTCGAATTCAACTATTTTATTAACATTCCAAAATTATTGTTATCATTTGTATTGTCTTATCATAAAAGTGAAAGATCACACTGTTTTTGAAACCACCTTATATTTGGGGAAAATGCACTCTGGTGTTTGTGAAGGCACGGAACAGCATGATGGCTGATACAGATCTAGAATAGTCAGATTTTCCCTGCAAGGGAAAATCCATTTAGAACAACATGTGAATGGTTTCTCAGAACCAGGGATATTCTCCAGGAAATCCTGACTTTATGAAGGTCAGAGCCAGGGCAGGTGCACACACCTGGCTCATCCTGTGCACCCGAAGAAGAGAAAAGTAAATTTTCCCATGTCAGGCATGACTTAATTTTAAGACCTCAACCAAAGTGAATTCTGAAATCCAAGAGTAATTCAACAAATGGAGCAGTCTGGAGATGTGATCGTCTTCTGCTCAACTTCATCAGAGGCACAAACATCCTAGCCAGGGCTGTGTCTCTCTCATCTCTTAGCTTCCTTTTGTCCTGTGTGGCTGATCCTCAGACACACTTTCCCCTGGTGTTCAAAGGAATTCAGAGTCGCTTGGAGGCTGAGGGCTTCACCTCAATGGAACCCACTCATGCCCTTTCCCAGCCTGAGTCCAACGGCAATGCACCGTACCCTGTCCAGGCGTCCCCATGCATCTCTGCATCTCCAGGATTTTAGCTTTGTCATGGTCCTATTCCCAGCTTGTCTCCTGGCTACAGCAAACACCAAATGAATATCCTGATAGGGAGATGAAAAATCTTGCTTCCTAACAGGAAAGTAGAAGTTTATCAGTCTGAAGAAGAAGGAAAGCAGTAAAATCAACAAATAACCACCCTGTTTATGTATGTTTCTGCTTATTGCAATTGCAGTGTTCTGTGTTAATTATGTACAATTCAGAATAACAAGAAATAAACTTATCCTCAAGAGTCTCATCTCTCAGAGATGTCTATTTGAATACCATTTTGTCATGCTGCATCTCAAATTTTTTTTCTGTTTGTGTTGTTTTTATGCATTTTCAATCATCCTGTGGGTATCGATCTTGTGTCTTCACACAGATTAAATACATAGTTTCTTCATAGTGTGAGCAGTATTTTTAAAAGAAATGCTGATGGCTACATTCAAAAGCAAATCATTTGGCAGAACCGTTGTTCCTGCTTCGCACCCATGTGGGTCCTGGCACACATCGTTCTGGTCCTCTTTGATCTTCAACCCAACACTCTGGTCCTGAGTGACCACGTGCTTACCAGGGCTTCACTGGAGATCTATGCAGCATCCTATGGTTGAGCTTTAGCACAAGGTGTTGCTTCTAAGCTGTTCTTTCTGGCTGGCCTTTTGCTGGGACATCTGCTGTCTGTCTGTCTGTTGTAAGGTGGTGGACCGCTCAGTCCCAGATTATTAGGCCTTGTTCTTTGTGCTTTGCAATGACAAAATGCTTCTTCAGAAGTTATGTAAGCTGCATTTACTGTGTACAAGTCATTACTACCACTGTGAATATTGTCAATAAAAACCTGTATTTTCGAGATGCTCTTTTCCAAGGGTCGCCGCGGTTTCCTGCTTCAACAGTGCTTGGATGGAACCAGCGCTCGCATCCCGCCCCAGCCGGCCGCTCATTGCCAGTGCTCCTCCGCCTCCTTCTTACAGGGCACTCGACTGCCCCAGTGCCTTCGCTGCTGCTCCAGCTCTGAGCAGCCATGATAACCTTCAGCCACCTGCCATGATGACCGCATCCCCCTTGCAGGTGCGCCAGGACTACCACCAGGACTCGAGGCTGCCATGAACCGCCAGATCAACCAGGAGCTGTATGCCTCCTATGTCTACCTGTCCCTGTCTTACTACTTTGACTGTGATGATGTGACTTTGAAGAACTTTGCCAAATACTTCCTCCACCAGTCTCATGAAGGAGAGGTAATATGCGGAGAAACTGATGCAGCTGCAGAACCAGCACGGGGGTTCGGATCTTCCTTCAGGACATCTAGAAACCAGACCCTGATGACTGGGACAATGGGCTGAATGCGTTGGAGTGTGCATTGCACCTGGAACAAAGTGTCAATCAGTCACTACTGGAACTGTACAAAATGGCCACTGACAAGAATGATCCCCACTTGTGTGACTCCATCGAGACTCATTAACTGGATGAGCAGGTGAAGACCATCAAGGAACTGGGCGACCATGTAACCAATTTGCACAGAATGGGAGCCCCCACAGCTGCCATGGCAGAGTACCCCGCCGACAAGTACACCCTGGGACACTGTGATAACCCGAGTTAAGGCCTGAGGCTGACCGTGCTGCAGCCGGGGCGCAGCTTCCCTGGCTGTGCACCAAGGCAGTGCATGCACATAGGGGCCACCTTGACCTTTTCTATACACAGTACCAAAACATCCACCTATGTACTTTAATTTGTACCATCCTTTCAAATACAGAAATTTGGTACCCCCCCAAAAAAACCTGTATTTTTATGCTCATAGATGAATGAAAAATAATAGACATTAAGCAAGATCACATGTGAAGTTACCACTCTGATAACTCCCGTGAAGGAGAGGCACCTAGAGCTATGAGTGGCTACCACAGGGAAATTTCAGCTCTTCAAGCATGTCATTTTTCAAGCAACTATTGGTAATAAGTGAATAGTAACTAGAAAAATGGTGGGATGGGGTGAAAAATCAGAGTGTAAGAGAATCCCCTGATTCTCTAAGTCTTTGCTTAAAATGATACTCCTTTGGCACTCTGTTTGATAAAGGGGGCTAGCAAAGACTTCCCCGAGAAAGTAGTTATTTGGCCTTTAGCTGAAGGAAGACTGAAGAATTCCTGAAATAATTTACTTAGGCATTTGGTAAAAAATCAACAACAGGAAACTGGCATTGAAATTGATATAACTATACAATGGACAAAGGTATAGGCCTTCCATAATATACTCTTAGAATAGTATGCCACTTCATGACATCTTAAGAAACATTTTGGAAAAATCTCCAAATAACACACACACACACACACACTATTCTAACAATGTGTAAAGAGCATGGATCAGCTAAATCCAAGTTCAACTCATGAACCAGCAACCTGCAGCACTCTGTCCATGCTTTCTAGGCCCCTTTGTAGGCCATTGGCCCAGCCAGTGGTCATCACAGTTGCAAGGTCCTACCTGGCACCCAAACTTCTTCCACCCGCTGGTTAACTCCCCAAGTGACCACAAAGGCTAGAGTGCACCAGTCTGAAGCCAGGAGCTTCTTCTGGGTCTCCCATGCAGGTGCAGGGCCCCAAGGCTTTGGGTCATCCTCTGCTACTTTCCCAGGCCACATGCAGGGAGCTGGATGGGAAGTGAAGCATCCAGAACATGAACTGCACCCACATGGGATCCAGGCACATGCAAGGCAAGGACCAATAGGCTGCTGTGCCGGGCACACGTGTTTTAGTTTTTAAAGTCATCACTGGGCAAATTTTCTTGCTTTGGCTTTCAGAACACGAAGTCTTAGTGATTTTACTGATTGGATGATGATGCTTTCATAAAGGTGGCATTTCCCCTCTATTCTTTAACACTTCAGGAATGCCATTTCTCATCTGTGGTCTATCTAATATTTTGCCTATTCAGTACTGAACTCAGATTTTCTTTCTGAGCTTTTCAAATTCCCCATGCCTCCTTTACCAGTGCACCTCCAAAAATTGAACTTGTCTCTTTTGCAATTTTCTTCACACACTCTCAGTGCTATACACTTGAGAGAGCACATGACCCATATTATATATAAGAAAAAAAGCATGCGTTCCTCTTGGAGCAAGGGCAGCAGTTGGGCCTTCTGCACTGCTTCACGCGGTGGACCTAGAAACAGGAAATTATTCAATTAAACCTCTGTAGTTCCCCACTGTAGCAACAAATAGGCTATTTCTGAAGCCGTTTTACCAGCCTCAGAAGGAGAATTCCCTTAGTAGCTGGGAATAGAGTTATGCCAATATATCAATTTTCAAGCGTATTCAACTGCAGAAATGATACTTTCCTACTTGCAAAAGGACTTACTTCGGATATTCTCTGAGCTAGAATGAAAGCTCCTTTCCCATTTTGGAAATCAATAACGCCTTTTCTTCTATTGTCATGAGTTATTATAGTAAAGGCTATCTGTGGTCCTGAACATCTCTTCTGGAAGGCAGTGGTACCAACTCTGCAGTCGCTGTGGGCAGCCTGTGGAGGCTGCAGGCTCTGAAGAAAAAAGGACGTCTCTTCAGGCTGTCAATGGTCACGCATCCTCCACACTACAGCAAGTTTGTAGTGGTTATTGAAGCTAACCCTCCAACGTTATTCAGGCTCAGGGTCAGCTTCTTTAGACTTTTGCAGGGCAAAGCATTACCAAAATGCCTTCTACACGCTCTGTGTGGGTCCAAAAGACACACCCATCTCCAAGGAGGCCTTGGCAGCCTCTGTGCATACACTGTGTGTGGATGGTAGGTGAGCAGCATGGGCAGACGAAAGATCCAGTAATCTGGCCATCTGTGGAGCTGGGCCTGCTCAGACTTGACTTTATCTGTGTACTAACTGTATGAAATTTGACTATGTTTTAGTTTTATTTCTACTGTTGACGTGTGTATTTTAAAAGCAGCAGACATGTAAGGACAGAGAGATCTCCTATCAAGGGACCAAATATGTGACATAGCCTGGGAATGAAGCCTGGGGCCGGAAACTCAACCTAGGCCTCCCACAGTTTCCTTGAGCCTGGACCTGCTGTTCCTACTGCGTGTATTAGCAGGAAGTTGCAATTAGAAGTCAGGACAAAGCACTCCCACTTGGGACACAGGTGTTTTAACTGCTACGTTAAATACCTGCTCTGTGCTGGCAATTTTAGCTTTATTTTTCAGCTTCTCATACATGAATAGGAAGAGAAACATTTTACAAGGTTGTTATGAGGATTAAACGGCACAGCGTATTTGAAGTGCCTGGCATAAAGCCGGATATATAATGGGCTTATAAATGGTGGTAGTATGCTCCACTTCCACTCCACATGAAATGCAGTCTATTCTCAGAGTGGTACCTAGGCAACATTCTCACTCTCTTTCCACGGCTATGACCATAAAAAGACATTTTGTTCGTTTCTCTATTCAGATATACTTCCTCACAAAGTGAGACCTGCATGACTTGTATTTCCAAATTATTAGGCTTGTTTACTGTAATATATATTAGCAGAGAAGATGTTATATAATATTAGCACACTAAATAAAGATATACAGAAGGAAAACGAGAAGTTTATGGAACATGAAATTAAAGAATTTATTTGGCCACAAGATTTTTGAAATCCATGCAAATGAAGACTCTTCAAAGGGGCAAGGGAAAATGTATTATGAGCAAACTATCCATGGGTTTCAAAATTTTTGCCCCCCAAAAAGACACCTTTTAATTTTACTTTCCCAGAAAATTTGTGAAGTGCCCTCAACTATATAAAACAACTATATTAAGCATGAAACTTAAACATGTGTGTTTTCTAAAACTGATACTAATTTTATATGTAGCCTTAACAGTAGGCACCAACACTTGCAAAGATGATACAAAAAAAGAAGAGATTTTTTAAAATGGAGGAATTCGGTACTAAAGCTCTCCCTTAGCAGTGGTCCTCATGGTGACCCTTAGGTGGACTCCGAGTGGTGGTTGCCAGCCTAACCCAGGGCCACCAGCACTTTGACTATGGCATAACATGTGGTGCATCTTTTAGGGAAGGCACAGCATAGTTTTCTCCTAACAAAATTACAATCATTCAAAATTTTATGCCTTTTATTTGTAATGTTTTTGGTTTGTTTTGTTTCCAGTGTGTGAAGGGTGGATTGGGGGAGTTCAAAATGTGGCCCTTTTTAAGTATTCTTATTCATGTTAGTTTTTATATTGAAAAGTATTATTCTATCATGCTGAGGTCTTTGTGAGTTTTAAATGGCATTGAAAGGTAGCCTTTGTTAGTTATTCCTTCTAATTTTATGTCACCAACTAATTTGCAGTATCTCTATCCCTAGCATCAGTTATAAGACCTTTTCTATGTGGATGAGGGCAAGTAGAATTGTATAATAGGTGTCAGGGGAATAATATTCTAACCGGGTGATAATGGGCATTGTTTGGTGAATGCACATTCCAGTAGTGGTGACTGTGGACCCACACATCTCATGTAGATTAGGTTGTATTTTAACATAGGGGTTTACAACAACATCAAGAATATATTGTAACATGTTCTGCTGTCAACCAAATGTGATTTGTCTGTGGTATTTGCAAACTGTTCCAATCTGCAATGATCTATTCTAAGTAAACCCAATGCTAGCACCAGTGGCCTTGCATCTTTCCCTAAATGTTCATAAATCAGCTCTTAAATAATTAATTTTTATCTCCTTGCCTGTAGTTAGAAATAACTATAGCCTTACCAGTTTTGCTTTGTTTAAATCAAGGAAAGTTGTCCATTTTCAGCCACAAGTGATCCTATAATTTAAAGATTTTTTTTTTAAAGTGAAGTATTTCTTGTGAAAGAAATGTTTTACCTTTAGAAAATAATGAAAGCCAGACAAGTTAGATGTTTTTGGAACTTATCCTGTCTGGTGTAACTTTCATTTTTGGGGACTTTGCAGGACCGCACTGCTCCCACATAAATGACCCTCTCTGCTTCTCAACCTCCGACGTCATTCAGGTGAACAATCACATCAAGCTCTTTGCTGGAGTAGCAGCAGAACCTCTGGCATCCAGCTACCCCCTGAGAGGTCATTTTTTCTTTCCTTTAAGTTGTTGTAGCATTCTTGCTTTTACCTATTACTTATATGTAGTTTCAAGTTCTAGATTACAAAATGTGACCCTATGTCCTGTGCCTAGGTTGGAGGCTACTTGAAAACAGGAACTCTTTTCTTTCCTTTTATCCACCAAGTGTTCTGACATCAATAGTGGGTATGGAGAATGTCCGTGTCAGCCAAGAACAGCCTTAGAGCCATTTCTGTCATGTCATCACACAACGGGAGTTTGACCTCTGCTCAACTCTGTTGTCCAAAGATCGTTGGTGAGACTGAAGTGGATAAAAGTCGCAAATTTCGTAGTTGGAAAATATGCTGAAAAAAAGCCATCTTTGTGTTTAGTTCATTTATTTATATTGCAAGAGGGAAACACCTCCTTAGCCTTGATTCAACAGTAAGCAAAATTAATTGGCTCTATCACTGAGAAGTCCACAGCCAGAGCTGGTTGTTAATAAAGTGCCTTATCCATAAACCCAAACAATGCCATCAAGAACTCAGCTCCTCATTCTGAAGTCTCCTCGTTTTGATTCTGCAGTTTCAAATTAGTTCTAGGTTGTGAATTAGGGGGTTTTATAATTTGTTTTTAATTAATTATTTTTCTGTAACAGCATTCAGAAAACCTATTATGCAGGAGTTCCAGCTCTCAGAAGTCCAAAATGGCTTTTGATGCCTCTGGAAACCAACTAAATAGAACATAGTCT